CTCAGGTTCAGATACAAAAAGTGTAATTGTGGAATATGGGTTCAACTTTTGTTGGGGATTTGATCCCTTGCTATTCACTGTCGAAGGAGTGAGATGGAACAGAAAAGAAAGAAAAACGAAACCGCACTTTGCCTTAGGACGAATTAAACCTCCTCCTCACTACTCTCATGCAGTACAGAATCAAATGAGGTGATCCAGATTCTCACCCATATTATTATCTTCCCTCAGGTACTCGAGTCTCGAGGGTACCGCTTACCGAAGGAATACTATCCCGAGCGTGTCTCAGCTTGGGACGAGCGCCCCGAGGGTTACATCGAGGAGCCTCTTGTGTGTGTTTTGTACGTCGGAATTTAGCATTGTATTGGTTTTACCCAGTAGCCAGAAAAAAAAATCCAAAAAGGAAGCCGAAGACTTGACATGAAATTTAGATTGAACTATTGTACAATTGTTGGATTGATCTGTGTCCCTCACACCCGATACCACTGGGAATTCATTGTTAGATGACGAACGGCCAGTCCACAAGGACCGCTCGCTGAGGACGACTAAGGACGTGCATCTAGCATGAATTAATAAAGGTAAACCATTGTATTCAAGGTCTTCGCTCGATAGGGAGAATACCTATCGAGGGGAACTACTTATACAAGATGTCCGGGCCGTAATACGTAGTCTACAGTGAGTAATCGGGTAGCTATCTGTTTTCCGACACTACTAAAGGAGAAACTATGCGCGGATTAATGAACATGTGTCACGGTACAATAATATCCATATATGTAATGGTCTGAAGTAAATCACGCGAGGGGAAACAAACTAAATACCGCGTCAGACATCCTAACTCCAACATTCATTCCCACTGATCACCACTGTTGAAGTACTCACACCAATCCATTTTAGTTAGAGGTTCGATGCACTGCAGATGCACCGACAGAAGCCAAAATAACAATAAAAAGTGGTCAAACATGTCCGCTAGTGCCCCCAGGAGGCCTCCCCTCCCGCTTCATTCATCAAACATTTTCAAAAGCTGTGGATGGTCACCATGATCCAGAAGGGCTCATCCCACTTGAACCTAGATTCAGAATCTTTGTCGCATTCCAGCACAGCAGCCGAGCCTGTCTCAAATTTAGAGTTAATGCGTAAAGCTTCCCAGCCAAAACAAACGGCAGCCACGTTGAACCAGCTTGTGGCTCGACGAATTGTTAGAACCAAATTGAACTGCAAGTAGAGCCGTATCGAACCAAATAAATTGACATAGAACTAAGGTACATGCACTACCGGCTACATGACCTCCCGCAGGGAGGCAGCGCCTATTCGGACCTCGGCGCATCGATGGCGGCATTGCATGTGTGCGCACGACCTATGAATCGGCGGGATGAAGGGATGGTGCGGAGAAGTTTGGTGGTGTTGGTGTTGTACGGGTTCGTGCACACGCGGTACGTGCGGGCAGAACCCGCCCCCAAAAAATGCTACAGCCAATTCCGGGAAGGAGAACCAAGACTCACCTTAAGAACCAACTATCGCCCCGAGAACATATTCCCATCGACGTTCAAGAGGTACTTGTACTGGTTCACCTCCTCGCGCGGGACGCTCTTCCCAGTGATGTTGTACGCATTCCTGACGGCGTCGGCGTCGCGGTCGTCCGTGTGCGTTAGCGAGTGTGTCCGTATTCACATTCACGGCAATATCAAGATTATTCCGCGAAGATGAAGATTATTCCACAAGAGCGGGAAAATCAGCAAATAAAAAGAAGACAACTGGAACACACACTCACCCGTACAATGTCACTCATGCCACTGCGTAATCCGCACATCAAACAGGCCCTTCGCCTGGTTCTCCGGCAGGGCGACGAGGTCCATGAGTTGGAAGCGCGGGAACGAAAGGTAGTTGGTGCCGCGGATGTGCCCGCCGCCGGACTTGCCGCGCCAGCCTGTGAATGAGGGGAAGTCAGTGAGTGAGCATTAGGCGAGCGCAGCATTGGCGTTTGATATTAAGGGGAAAGTGGTAATGAACCTGGAACGGGCAAGCGACGGAAATGGGTCTTCGAGGACGCAGTATCCGTGCTCCGAGAATGCCCCCAAAAAAAAGACAATGCAAGGACGATGGACGGAGGATCCCGTCGAAAAACAAACGGCAGAAAAAGACTCACACAACACCTCCCATTTCACATTATCCGGATGCTCGAACTTGCCCCCCCACCAGGAGTTGTGATAATAAAACTATACATGTCGTCAGTTAGCTTCGTTCTTCGTGCGTTGGCACAGAGGTGAATGGAAAGACGAAGAAAAAAATGAGAAATGACCACGAGAGACAGGGACGTCGACCTCGACCGCACCCAGCACGCAGACATGTCGAGCGCGGGATATAAGAACTCCAGGACAACGCAATCCAAACGCTGGGATACCGAGCGCGGGATAAAGCAAGCGGGCAATCACGCCACTGCGCAGCACGGGCACGGATGTAGATGTTTCCCATACATCCTCCTCCCCGCGCGCGTGCCCCACATCCCCGATCTGCACGCTCACCCGTACAGTCCGCCCCAAAATGAACGTCAACGAAACTCGCTCTCGCTCGGTCGAGAAAAACCTCCCGAACAAAATATACCAAGGAAAAACGCACCTCCTCCGGCACCGACACATCCGCGAAGCAGCTGCCTCCTCCGGGTGAATTGTCACCACCAGATAGAGACGTCGACGCGTCCGCGAGTTTAATCATACTAAGCACGGGGACGAGGTCGGTCGTGAATTCGGCGGAGGATGCGGAGACGAGGACTGTGTGTGAAAGAAGTTAGCACGAGCGAAAGCAGGAACAGAAGTCGAGTGCGGATCCGAAAGAAAAAACTCCACTCACAAGTAACGTCCCCCACCCCGCCCACGCCCCTCGCGGGGCGACACACGTCCTTTCTTTCCGGCTGCGCAAAGAATGCTCCGGTGCGCAGGGTGGAGAGCATGAAGGGGGTGGGGTCGGACAGCGTTAGAGCTTGCGCGAGCGTGGGTGGGTCTATGGAGCGAGAGAGAATGTCAGAGAATAAAGACCAAATAACAAAGCAAGTAGAGCTAGAGATGGAAAGACGCACCCTCAAACAACGACCCCACATCGAACACGGCGCGCGGCTCGTCGCAGCCGTTGGTGAGGACGATCATCGGCGGGAGGGCGGAGGCGAACTGTGTGAGGTTGGAGTTTGGAGTTGAGTTATGGGTGGTTTCGATGCGTTGATGATTTCAGGTATCGGAGTCGGGCTCATCCGGGCCAAGAGGAGGGAGGGTTTCAGAGGCTGTTGAGAAGTCGGTAGGGTGGAAGGACCAGGACCCAACGAAGCACGCAAAGGATATGCAGAAGCAGACACGCAGACGGACGTTGGAGGGTACGGAGGTCGGGGTGCACGGACAGGCGCGCCATGGCATAGTGTAAGGAAGGCGGAACTGCCGTGCGTGCGTGTTGGAGTCAAACGAGCAGCGCGAGCCGGAGTGCGTTTGTGTGATCCATAGTTTCGATGCGTTCATAAATTCGAGAGAGGTGCAGGCATTCTCCACGAGAAGAGAAGTTGGTCAGCGGGGGAAGCGGTGGAAGGATCAGGGCGGTGCGCAGGTCGGAGTGCACGGGCAGGCAGGTACAGGATGGTGTAAGGAAGCAGAGACCTGTGTGCATGCGTGTGTTGGAGTCGAATGAGCAGCGCGAGTAGCAAAGGAAAGGGGACGAGTCAAAAGAGAAAGTCAGATCCAGCCCTCCAAATCACTCTCGAGTACGCATCTTATTAACCGTCCCCTCCCAGTCCCTATCAAAGCAGGTCGCCTGGTGCTCGGGCTTGTGCGCGCGGCTGTTGCGAATGGCGAGCGCGGCGATGCCGTGCGTGTCTGAGTAGGATGCGAGCTGCGAGGCTCGTCAGCAATGCGTGAAGAGCAGGGAGATGAGAACGGGACGGCGCTAGCGACGCAGCTCGGTAGCCTAAGCCACACTCCCGACCGCGGCGGGGTCTACCGCCAAACCGAAGAACGCCATAGAAAGAGAATAAAAGCACGGATCACTCACCCTCTTCTCCACCGCCTCCACCCTCTCCCTAAACCATCCCCTCCCTCCCTTTCCTTCCAGTCTCCCCCCACTCGCCGCTTCTCGCGCTGCGCAGCAACCCCCATCTCCACCCTCCAAAACGGCACAAAATCGCGCCACACCTCCGCATACCTGTCCACCAGACACCCGCGTTCCATTGCAAACACGAAGAACACGTTGAACACTTTTGGGGGCGGGCGGGCGGTCTTGAGGGTGTAGCGCACGCGCGCGGTGGGGAGGGTGGCGGGCTGCGAGGACAGGAGGGCGTGCAGGCGCACTGAGGCGGTGACGTCGGGCGAGTCGGTGTTGGTGGCGGAATTGGAAGACAAATGTGAAGAAGGCGCGGAAGCAGGCCCGTCAATAGGCGGGGGCCTCACACCTGGCGGCGCCCCCGGGTGCGGGTGCTCGTCATGCGCACTCCCGTGTGGAAGGCGGCGTCTTCCCGCCGTGGTACGGTGCCAGGCGGTCTGGGAACCATAGGCAGCGGAGGAGGGAGTGGCGGGAGCGACGAGGGGATGGTTGATTCGAGGTTGCAGGACATGGCTAGGTTGAAAGTTGAAGTTGAAGTTGAATGAGGGAGTGTACAGACTAGCAGCGACTTTTCATGGTTGTTGTTTAACAATGTTTTGCGTTGATGCCGTGACATCCCCATCAGGACTTCCCATCATTTTCCCGGCGACTCTCAAATTCCAGCGAGCATATGTATTTCGTCGCCTCAACGGTGGTAGGTGATTACCCCAATCTACGAGGGCTTATTGCAGCTGGAGACTAGGCTGTATATGAGCATACATTTCTGTTGGATCAATCTATATCTATGTAAGTCTAAAGTGTCTCGCTAAATATTCCCGTATGAATTCGTGTCTGGTCCGAAATTCAACCATACCAAACGCGATACAAAATCCGTTCGATGTCCACGAAAAAATAGAGAAAAAAGAAGAAAAATTGAAGTCGGTATCCCTGCATGCCCTCGGGGGGAGTCGAACCCCCCACCTCCCACCTCTGTTAACGCCTACGGGCCTCAAATAAGAGCTGTGGGCGATCACCGTGATCGACGAGGGCTTATCTTCTGGTTGAATAAAGAGCATAAATCTTTGGTGGACTTCTGGACAGGCAAGTTCAGGAAATATTTATCTACGATCTGATCATGACTTCTGGTGCGAAGTTCAGTGGCACGTCAACACGATTACACCCTTGTGCCAAATTCAGCACAAAAAGAAAAGAAGAAGAGTAGAGTACGCCAGAGTAGAGCAGAAAAAAGTGATCTAATCCCCGATAGTGCCCTCGGGAGGATTCGAACCCCCGCCTCTCACCTGAATCGCCACCGAGAATACTTCATAAGTCGTGGGTGCTCACTGCGATCCACAAGGGCTTATTGCACCTGGAAACTAGGCTGAATAAGGACCGTATGTATTTGTCTGATTTGCATCTGAACTTGAAGCACTTTGGAAGGACATTTCTGGTTTGTGGTGCCAAGTTCAACAAGGAAACAATCCGTGTTATTCCCTGGATTTCAACGCAAAAAAGGAGTTCTCGCTGTGCGCAGTACCCCTGGGGGAGTCGAACCCCCGCTGTCCAGTTCCAGAGGCTACCATTCAGATATGAAAGGCGAGTGATCCCATGATCCACGAGAGCTTATACTGCTGTAACTCAGGTTGAATAAAGGGCATACATCTCTGCTGGGTTGCATCGGAACTTGAAACACCTCAGAAAATATTTCATGCTAGCTTCGAAGTTCGGATGCCGAGTTGAACAGATAGGATCAAAGTCATTATTTCTCTCAATTTCAGCGGGAAACAGTTGGATAGAGTGGAAATGCCGGTTCGATGTTCATGCAGTGCCTTCGGGGGGCGTCGAACCCCCCATTTCCCACTTCAGTCTCGATTAGATTTTGAAGAGTCGTGGGTGATCACCGTAATACACGAGGGCTACCACAGCTCAGGCTGAATAAATAAGAGTCTCAGTAAGACTGCAACGAATGAGTTGGACACTTCAATACTCCCACTCCTGCCGTGTGTTGAATCATAGAGAGATGTTGTCCACTCCCACAACTTACAAAACCCTACTTTGTTCTGGAAATACTGCATGACCAAAAATAAAAAGTCAATAAACAAGTGGACCTCGCCGTGCCAGACCGTGCTGCAGTTCACAAATGACCGCCTGCAGTTTGATGGCCACGGGTGCGACAGCTCGCATAATCTGTATTATGCTTACTGGTATATCTGCGGATGCCAGATGTACCCTCAAGCGTTCGGATGGGTTGGCGATTTGGTTGAAAGAGCAGAATATTTTGGGGATTAAGGTTGAGCAGGCAGGCCATAGGGTGTGCGAGTATGGATTCTCCATACTAAATAATGCTGGAGAACTGCAGCAGATGCCCGTGCAGCTCTGAACCTCACTCGTCGGCTTCGCGCTGTGACCAGCTCCAGCCATCCTTCAAGTTGTATTTCGCCCTCCCCATTTTGTTTTTTCCGCACTGCATCAAGTCATCGACATTTCACAGAGGTATTTGAGAGAATTGTCCCTATGTATAGCGGTGGAAAAGCGGTTGAGATGTCCTCACTTGATTCCGATGCATCATCTCAATGTTTCTGGTTTAGACCGGTCTGACTTGATTATTTCCAGAAAAACTCGTAACTGATAGTCCAGGCATTCAGTCTATTCAACTCTTTCTACCTGTTGATTGAAGTGATCCTGGGTCATTCTCGCATTCATGTATGGCGTCCACATTTTACCCCGCCTGAATCTGCCACCAGTTCAGCGCACACAGACAATAAATTCCGACTGTATTTCAATTGATCGAGTTGAGAATTGGGGTGGCCTAAACTTACATCAGAAAGAAGTGTGTATTGCTTTTAATTTTCTACATTAGAGAGTTTGCGGTGGTGCCACCCAGCGCCACCAGATGGCTCATCCGGCATGCGGTGCTGGGTGGCTACGTCATTTGGTGGCTGTTCGGTTGCCTGCTCGTTATGGTGTGTATCGAGTGCCTATTACCTTACTGAATACTAATGCTTTGTCTACCTATGCAGAAGGCCATTCTCGAGTCTACACTTTGCTGTCTGACTCAATATCAGGGTTGCTCTCAGAGTTTGGCAGCAAAGAAGGGTTGAAGTACTAGTTTCCAGCACTCCACCGGTGCGCGTGTACAGGCATGCATCTGAATAGGCATAGTATGTGTGGAAGGTCAACAAAAGTTCTCCCCACGCCACCTGATCAGCCACCAAATGACGTAGCCACCCGGCACCGCATGCCGGATGAGCCATCTGATGGCGCCGGGTGGCTCCACCGCAAACTCTCTATTGACGGTTTTTTGTCTGCGTGAAAATAGCCTCCCGCACAGAGCGGACAATTTGAACTGGTGATCTGACCTTATTCTTGCATGGGGAACTGAGGTGTCCGTGGTAGCATGATTTGCTGGGCCACCAGCAGTGGCAGGAAATGAATGGACGATGGCTGATTCCTCGCCTACAATTCAGGCAATATCTATCAGTCTGATACTTCACCTGATTCCAAATTGTTAGAATATCAGGTGTCACATGGAGGAGCACAGAAACGAGGATATATGGCGCAAGAATGGGACAAGTGCGATGGGGGACAAAAACTAGAGTATTGTACTGGAGCAGGGTGAATATATAAGCAATCAAATAGAGGATGAAACGGGGAGGACATGTGACAGTCCTATTTCAACACAAATTGTTTATCTGCAGACTTCTCCTTTTTCTCTTGGATTACATTTTTAGCTTTCTCAGGATCACCTCCATTCATGGGAACCATTATATGTCGTACCGTAGCAGGGTTCCGGTTTAAACCGCATCGTGTCCTACGAGACCCCTCGGTTTAAACCGGTTCAAACCATAATGGTTCAAACCGTGACTGTCCTCCTATAGAACTTGCCTCTAACTGTGCAGTTTCAACCCAGTTGGAACCGTGATGGTTTAAACTGGTTGGAACCACTAATGGTTCCAGCTGGTTTAAACCACTGACCAGTTGGAACCATCAATGGTTTAAGCCGGTTGGAACCATCAGTGGTTTAAACCGGCTGGAACCATCAGTGGTTTAAACCGGTTGGAACCAAAGTTGTTTGGACATGTTTTTCTTTTTTTGTCCTTGACACTTTTTTTCCCTCCTCTCTTAATATTAGTGACCGCCTGCCTCCCAATCACCCGACTCCTTCCAAAAAAGGAAATTCATATCATTTGGACTCAGAAACTCACAGAAAAATTGTGAATAATTGCGAAAAAATTGTCTAAGGCACAAATAGGTTAGTAAATGGCATCCACCAAAAATGGAAATCCATTAAAAAAAAATGAAAGTTGTAGCCCTCATTGAGCACTACAATGTTGACCAATTGACTATGGTGATCAGCTCATTGGTTGGGCCAAAAAAGGCAAAAAAACTTTCGAAAACACGGTTCGTTTTAGGGAGTGATTGGGCCATGTCTCAGTAACTGCTGGATGGATTCTCGTGATTCTAGTACTGTTAGAAAGTAACTGACCAGGGCTTTCAGATGGGGTTATTCACCAGCTATTTTTATTTTTTTAGAATGATTTGGCTAGTATCTCGGAAACTGCTGGATTGATTCCCATGATTGTGGTACAGAGCTGAATGAGCAATTTCAAGTGACACCTGTTGCTAACTATACAAAAATACTGCTGTTGAGATATCAGGGATTTTCTGTTTGAGAGGATCATTGATCCAGCAGTTCCCAAGATACAAGCCAAATCATTCTAAAAAAATGAAAATAGCTGGTGAATAACCCCATCTGAAAGCACTGGTCAGTTGCTTTCTAACAGTACTAGAATCACGAGAATCCATCCAGCAGTTACTGAAACATGGCCCAATCACTCCCTAAAACGAACCGTGTTTTCGAAAGTTTTTTTGCCTTTTTTGGCCCAACCGATGAGCTGATCACCATAGTCAATTGGTCAACATTGTAGTGCTCAATGAGGGCTACAACTTTCATTTTTTTTAAATGGATTTCCATTTTTGGTGGATGCCATTTACTAACCTATTTGTGCCTTAGACAATTTTTTCGCAATTATTCACAATTTTTCTGTGAGTTTCTGAGTCCAAATGATATGAATTTCCTTTTTTGGAAGGAGTCGGGTGATTGGGAGGCAGGCGGTCACTAATATTAAGAGAGGAGGGAAAAAAAGTGTCAAGGACAAAAAAAGAAAAACATGTCCAAACAACTTTGGTTCCAACCGGTTTAAACCACTGATGGTTCCAGCCGGTTTAAACCACTGATGGTTCCAACCGGCTTAAACCATTGATGGTTCCAACTGGTCAGTGGTTTAAACCAGCTGGAACCATTAGTGGTTCCAACCAGTTTAAACCATCACGGTTCCAACTGGGTTGAAACTGCACAGTTAGAGGCAAGTTCTATAGGAGGACAGTCACGGTTTGAACCATTATGGTTTGAACCGGTTTAAACCGAGGGGTCTCGTAGGACACGATGCGGTTTAAACTGAAACCCTGCTGTTGCTGATATGTCTTGATCACCGTTGGTCCGATTTTCATCAATTTCTGGAACAGTTCTCAGCAGTCATATAATTCAGATTTAAACTGCTGATTTAGCGACTACGGAAAGTTCCCAACAGGCTGCTTCTCTCTCTGAGATGCTCAAATCAAGCAACTGAGGTGAGCCCAAAGTTGATTTGAGGTTGCTATGGTCATACCATTTCAATGCACTGTCCATTTACATCATGCATCTGTACCTGTCTAGCCCATCATGCACATCGGCAGAGCACGGGAAGATATCATGGTACCATACACTGCATTTTGACAGGGTCTGGACCAACCTTAGCCGAGGTTTGGCGAGGCCGGCGCGAGGTGCCTCGGCAGACCTAAGCGGCTGTGTCCAGGTCTGCCGAGGCACCTCGCGCCGGCCTCGCCAAACCTAGACTGATGGGGTCCAGGCTAGGTTCGAGGAACGATCAAAATGCAGCGATAGAAAGAGCTGAGCCCTCCATCGAACAAGCTTCTAAGTTGGAGCCTTGGACATTTTCCTAGATCTCTCATCTGCTCATTCAATAGTATCATTTGATGTGATCAAGCTC